TGAGAGAAAATAATGTGTGAATGCCAAGTGAAGTGAGAAATATATATAAGATAGGGTGGGAAACAATACCAGGAGCAGTAGTGGACTCCCCGTAAACCTAGTGGTCTCTCACCGGTGAAAAACGTCCAAACCCATCAGGGTCTCGGCCAAGGCCAAACCGACGCGACTCTTACCTTCTTTCAGGCGTTGGCTACCTCAATCAACTTGATATTGGCTCCACCAAAACTAAGGGCAAGAAGGTGGTGTGCAAGCATACATAAACAAAGAGCATGTTGTCGAAAACCTTGCTAGAGGAGGTCACCTCGGTCACCAATGTTAGAAAATCGATGAATCAAGCTGGGTATATCTAGCTCTCCGTCATAGGCCAAAGATCGAGCTTCATGCAAAGTAAACCCACACATCCGTCTCAAGGCTAAGGCATGGCCAAAACGGGGCTAAAGTATGATTTCCTCATCGCGCCGAGATTCCATTAGTGCCTGATATTCTTCAAGAGTCGGGAATATTTCTTGTGCTCCAAAACGAAAGACATGCATAATCAGGTCCCAACATTAGGCTGTGACATGGAGGAGCGGAAAACAAAATGGAGTATGGCTCAACGAAAAAAGCGCGTTTACATCGAAACCCCAGAAATTTACATTTTTCGTGCTGTCTAAAGTGGCTATCTAATCTATGAGTTTCTCAACAAGAAATGGCTCAATTTGTGGAAAAAACAGCAGCTGAAATGCAGTTCTGGAGAAGAAATCATAAATGAGGATCTTTTGTAGAAGATAAGGCTGTGAGTGGAGGCCAGCTACCAGCATTTTGGTGGCCCTCACATTTGTGGCCGACCGTCCACCTCTTCTCGCCGGCTGTCCACCAATCAGGCCGGTCGTCCACCTATTTGTTGGACAGTTTTGATAGCCTGGTTTTGTCCTGGTCTTTGTGTTGTTCGGTCTTGCTTTGAGTCTTTTGGTTTTTTCAAGTGTGTATAGCTATTTTTGGTTTGTGTTTGAGTTGTTTTGCTTTGTTTATCAAGTTGTATTTTGTATTTTTGTCATTGGTCGGCTCATTATCCGATTAAGACATTATTCCAATGCAAGCATGTTCGGTTTCAAATTCAACTTCATGTTCTTTTTCATGCAAGTATGTTACTCGTGGTGTAGTGCTCATGTTGTAGAACCAAAACTCTTTTAATAAAAACTGCGACGGTTTTATTTCGATCATGGTTTTTACAAAAGAAGTACAAGTTTCAAAAGCAAAAGTAAAACCTATCTGAAGCTATACATGTGGTAAACTACCAAACTAAAAGAAACTAAGCAAAAAAAGTCCAAAAAACAGCGCCAATCATCTCAAACTCGACAGGCCCTCTTCGTCATCTTCCTCGGAGGGGACTCAGAAGCATTATCTCCCTCGGCGCCGCTGCCAGAACCAGACTCTGAGCCTCCGCTCCCTGCCTCGAAGCCGGCCTCGATGTCATCTTCGCTCCCTGATCTTGAGCCGGCATCATCGTCCCCGCTCTCAGACTCAAAATGTCGGCTCACTATCTCCTCAGAGGCGCTGGCCTTGTCATTATCATCCCCACTCAGAATGAGCTCTGAAGGATTGCTCCGATCTCGGGCACCCCTATCCCTTCCTCAACCACGATGCTCGTCTCAGCTGCATACTGGGGCCCGTCTCTCTCGCCTCCCTACTATTGGAAGAGCTGCTGCTGGTGCTGCCGTTGTCGCTGCCCCTGGTATCCTTAGTACAGTTGCGATCTGAAAAACACAAGTGTCGTCATATCAGATACAGTGTGTATGGTTGCAAGATATAGTATAGCAGAATGAGCATCATGCAAAAAGCAGATACAGTATGAGTATAGTGTGCCAATGCAATGTATCAGTGTGTGAGATGGTATGAATACTACAATGCAAATGCCAATGTATCAATGAAATGCATGCTGAAATAGAGAAAATACATGAATACCGTGGAGACCGAACAACGTCTCTCTCATCTGCACCATGTCGATCAAGGAAGCGACAAGTTCGAGGAGGCCCTTCGTATACCCAGCAGATGCTTGTAAGTGCATTTGAATGATTAATATCTCAAATGGGAAGTGTGGGGTGCAAATTGTAAAGTGTGGTCCATACCTAAGATGCGTCTCTAACTTTAACATACCCACGCCCTACCTCTGTCAACTCGATCAGAATATGATATGTTGTCCTGGTCTTCCACCATCATGTAAGCACAGTGGGAATCTCTGGCCAACTGATAAAATGCCCGACGGGAGCAGTCCCTCTAATATCAGCCCTGGCCTCCCGAGCCTCACCCGCCACTGGAGCTCCTGTTGCCTCGCCTGCACGAACACCTGTCAGAGGAGGCATGAGATGAGTCTAGATGAATGTCACATAATCACCCTCTGCTCTGAAGAAGTTCGCATCCAGGCTCACCATGAACTGAATAATAGCCTCAACTGAGAGGCTATCCCTTGTCTTCATATACACTAGGGGTGGCATTAGAATGACCAGATTAGGCGAGCCTACCGTCTGGCGTACGAACCACTCGCTCAGAAACCAAGCCTGGCAGATTGGGCCCTCCAGTAAAATCCAAAAGCGAGATGTGCCCCAAGCCCTCGCATACTGGTCCCTCACCCTAGCCGGCATCATCGCCTAAGGCTGCCACGTGATCTGCAAACAGAGAATGTATAGATTTGTTAGTTGCCGTTAGATGTCAAAATATGCATCAGAACAGTAGTGGAGCAAAAATGACTGTGAATTTCGGGTTACATCGTCGGCAACCACTGTATCAAAGTAGCGGCAAAAGAAGGTGAAGGTCGTATCATCACAGCTCCGGCGCCAGCACCGGCCGTCGTACCATCGCAAATAAGGGATAACAAAGAGGATCTCATCAAATGGCTCTAGAGTAAGGGCCGAAAAATATGCGTAAACCCATAACTGCAAGGAAATGGCAGTAGTGTTATATACAATGTCAACACATATAGAAAGTCCAACGTAGACACAGATCGTGAACAGATATAGAAAGTGCAACAAATATAGTGTTATGTACAATGTCAACACATATAGAAAGTGCAAGGCAGAAAGCACAGAGTATGAACAGATATAGAAAGGGCAAGGCAGAAAGCACAGAGCATGAACAGATATAGAAAGTGCAAAGCAGAAAGCACAGGTGTTGAACAAATATAAAGTAGAAAATGTGAAGTAAAAAGAATAAATGCAAAGTAGAAAGTGGAGTGCATACCTCCCAGGCTCACCAGTACCCTCCGACCCGCTCTCCCTTCATACGGGAAGTGGAGCTCATGTAGCCGTAAAGTGTTGCGAGGCCAACTCTGCCCCAGTCATAAAAACAGACCCGAGGCAAGGTCACTAAGGCACTCAGTAAATGCAATCCTACGGTGTTCCACCTGTTCGCAAACAAGGTGGTACCAAGGAGGAACATCAGGAAGCCCCGGGCGTATTACTCAATCTCTTCTAGGGTCACGAGCTCGCTCCTGCGGAAATGCTCAAAAAACAAGCTATACTGCACCATCGATGGTCTAGATATAGGTGGGCGCACTCCAAGTAGCAAGATCCGAGTTGTTTCCCAGTCGCCCATGTCTGTGTCGAAGGGGATCGGATCACCCCCTACTCCTAAGTTTGTCAGCATAGAGAAGTCGTAGGGAGTCATCGTCATCTATTCAGCGGAAGAGAAGTGGAAAGAATCGATGGTGTCCCACCACATCTCCACCAACACTTCAAGAAAGGGCCAGCTCGCTATGAGGCACTAAAGTTCGGAGCATAAAAGGTTAAAGCCAGCCTCATCAACAATATCACAGACCCCCGTAACGAGCTCGTAGTACTAGTCCCTGGCCGTCACTACTCCATACCCCTTGTAGGCACAAGAGTCTCTCTATGACAAAGAAGAGTGAATCAGGTGAAGGACAGTGATAAATGAGCAGTCAAAATAAAGGCAATGCAAGAAATTCAATTCAAGGGAAGGCAGAAATACATGAAAATAGAGTTTTTACCTCTGGCGTCGTAAGAAAGATAGGAGTCTGGCTCCCTCAGCAGAAGGTCCTCTGGCACGCCACGTGTAAAGTCGCCGAAATGCCTGATGTCTCCAAGCGGTAATATATGTGTGCGAGGATGATCCGCCTTTGGATCGAAGGGCAGAATCCCCACTGTTAATGGCTCGGGCTCAAGTCCCAGAGCGAACTCCGTCTCTAGGTCAGCTGCAATATCCTCTGCCGCTAGCTCCTCAACCTCAGTAATGGGTGGTGAAGGCGGAACCTCAGGAGGAACCCCGTCATGTGGAATATCGTCTGCCATCTGGGAAAGTAGGTGAAAAGTGGGTGAAAAATAAAGAAAAACGGATAAAAGAGGGAAAACTTGGAAAAAGTCAACCCCAGGAGAGAGAAAATGGGAGAAAAAGTCAAAACTAAAAAATAAAAAATAAAAAATAAAAAATAAAAAATAAAAAATAAAAAATAAAAAATAAAAAATAAAAAATAAAAAATAAAAAATAAAAAATAAAAAATAAAAAATAAAAAATAAAAAATAAAAAATAAAAAATAAAAAATAAAAAATAAAAAATAAAAAATAAAAAATAAAAAATAAAAAATAAAAAATAAAAAATAAAAAATAAAAAATAAAAAATAAAAAATAAAAAATAAAAAATAAAAAATAAAAAATAAAAAATAAAAAATAAAAAATAAAAAATAAAAAATAAAAAATAAAAAATAAAAAATAAAAAATAAAAAATAAAAAATAAAAAATAAAAAATAAAAAATAAAAAATAAAAAATAAAAAATAAAAAATAAAAAATAAAAAATAAAAAATAAAAAATAAAAAATAAAAAATAAAAAATAAAAAATAAAAAATAAAAAATAAAAAATAAAAAATAAAAAATAAAAAATAAAAAATAAAAAATAAAAAATAAAAAATAAAAAATAAAAAATAAAAAGAAAGGTAATCATTATGAAAAATAAAAAATAAAAAATAAAAGGTTGTGTCCTGTTGATATTAACTACTATCTTATGATCAGACATGGACAGGAGTTGGATGTTAATTTCTGATAGATTCAGTCAGCCATATGTAGATGGGGTGAACTCATTTATTGAATTTGCAAAGGCTCATTTGGGTGAGGCTAGAGAGATTAAGTGCCCATGCATCAATTGTTGTAACTTTTATAAGCAGGAGTATGATAGTGTGAAGGCTCATTTGCTCATAAGTGGGATGATAGTATCATACACCACTTGGTTAGAACACGGTGAACTTCCAGAACACAATAACCTTGATGAAAGCAATGGTGAGAATGATGAGGATGAAGATGAATATGATGAACTGATAGAGGACTATCAGAGGGGGAATTTTATGGAGGGTGATACTCTAGAAAGAGAGGATGTACGACATTTTGATAAATTGCTAGATGCTTCCCAATGTTGCTTGTACCCAGGTTGCAAAAACTCAGATACTTTGTTATCATTCGTTATTCAGATGCTACATGTGAAGGTAGAAAATAGGTGGAGTAATAAGTCTTTTGACAAGGTTTTGGAGATACAAAGGCGATTCTTACCAGAAGGCCACGTGGTGCCAGGGTCAATTTACGAGTGCAAGAAGTTGCTACGTGACTTGGGCTTGGGGTACGAGCCCATCGATGCATGTAAACATGATTGTGTACTATTCTGGAAGGAGAATGCTCACTTGGAAAAATGTCCCACATGTCAAGCATCTAGGTACAGAGTAAATGATAGCAAGGGTAAGAAGATCCCTCACAAGATATTGCGTTACTTCCGATTGACACCTAGGTTGAGAAGATTGTACATGTCTAGGAAGACGACAAAAGACATGAGATGGCATAGTGATAAGCGTGTGGATAATGGTGTAGGGAGGCATCCGATTGATTGTAAAGAGTGGAAGGAATTTGATTTGCATTATCCAAAGTTTGCCCAGGAGACTCGCAATGTTAGGTTGGGCCCAGCCACCGATGGGTTCAACCCTTTTGGGGACATGAGCACTTCCTATAGCATGTGGCCTGTCATACTCGTGCCCTATAACCTCCCACCTTGGAGATGTATGAAGGCCTCATTTTTCATGATGTCCTTACTTATTCCTGGACGTAATTAACCAGGGACTGATATTGATGTCTACCTAAGGCCATTGATTGATAAGTTGAAGGATTTGTGGGAGAATGGTGTGATGACTTGCGATGCCTCCACTGAATAGACCTTCCGGATGCATGCAGCTATAATGTGGACCATAAATGACTTCCCTGCATATGGTGACTTATCCGGATAGAGAACTAAAGGTTATTTGTCTTGCCCTCCTTATAATGATAATCCGTTGTCACGTGGGTTGATCAGTAAGATTGGGTGGGTGGGTCATCGAGCTTACTTGCCTGATAACCACCATTGGAGGAAAGACAAAAAGTTTGATGGTTTAACTGAGCTTAGAAAGAAATCCTTGGATTTACCGGTGGAAAAAGTAATGGCTCAATTGGATCAATTGCGGGAAGTCAAGTTCGGAAAGGATCCTACCAACAAGAAAAGACCACGAGAGTCTGAAGAATTGAATTGGACAAAGAAAAGCATAATGTGAGAGTCACAGTATTGGAATAAATTAAACCTCCGACAGAATCTTGATGTCATACACATTAAGAAGAATATTTGTGAAAACTTTTACGGGACGATGTTGGCCATAGATGGGAAAAACAAGGACACGTACAAAGCACATGATGATTTGCAAGAAATGGGCATAAGGCAAGAATTACATCTATAGAGGAAAGATAACAGATCCGTTGTAAAGCCTCGGGTATCCTACACATTGGATTCTCGAAAAATAGATAGTTTTTGTGAATTCTTGAAGTCTATTAGTTATCCAGATGGCTACACAGCAAACATCTCAAGATGTGTGACTTCTAAAAATGGAAGATTATCGGGCATGAAAAGCCATGATTGTCATGTCCTGCTTCAGCGACTTCTACCAATTGGCATGCGTGGTTTTGTGAACAAGGAGATTTGTACAACACTATTCGAGTTGGGCAACTTCTTCCAAGAACAGTGCTAAAAAACATTAAGGCAGACTGATTTGGAAAAAATGGAGGAACGAATTGTGCTCATACTTTGCAAGTTGGAGAAAATTTTTCCTCCAGCTTTCTTTGATGTGATGGTCCATTTGGCTGTTCACTTGCCCCGTGAGGCCATGTTTGCTAGACCGGTGCAATATCGATGGATGTACCCGATCGAAAGGTAATCATTATGAACATATGGTTATTTATTAATTTGTTATAACTAAACTATTGTGCAAAAACCCACCCATAAAAGACTATTGTTTAAGAAGTAATTTTCTTGCATCAAGAAGCATAATTTTCATTGTCAATTTTTGTTGAAGGTTTCTCGGGACTTTGAAAGGGTATGTCAGTAATAAAGCACGTCCAGAAGGTTCTATCGCTGAGGCTTACATTTTCAAAGAGTGTCTTACTTTTTGTTCAATGTACTTAAAAGGGATTGATAAACCTGAACGAAATAATGATGGTGGTGAATGTGGTCCCAGGATGGAGGTCTTCACCCAAAATGCTTGTCTATTCTCACCTATCACAAGGGCTCTTGACCCTTCACAAAACGAACGAGAAATGGCTCACTGGTTTATGTTGTACAATAGCCCTGAGGTGGAGCCATATATTATGTATTTAAATTTAATTATGTTTATGCATAATCGTTCCATTTTGTTTCGAACTCTCTAAGTTAATTACGTGTATCACATTTCCTTGGGTAGGGAGTAGAAGAATATTTTACATAATCTACAAGGACGTGACATAACTCGGGTACAACGAGAAGAATTTCCAAAATGGTTCAAAAATCATGTAAGATATACTAAAGAAAGTAACTGAATACAATTGTTGTAACGCTCAATTCACATTAACTTTCATGTAACCATAACTATTTCAATTTCAATAATATATGTTTGCATTTTGATATTATGTTTTAAGCTTATTTATATTTCATTCATAGGCCACTATGGTTTCAAAGATCGCTGAGCAATCTCAACCTAGTGTCACACATCCATTGTCTGAGGAGCAGATTTGCAGGGAAGTACTTGGGAAGAGGTCGGTCTACTTGAAGGGATACGGGATCCGCAAGGACAGTACTTCATCTTCCACACATTTTGAGGCTCCTAACTCTGAGGTGATTGTTCTTCAACAGCAGTTAGTTGACCATCGACAACAATTAGCTGACCAAGGAAAGCAGTTACTTGATCAGGCTCAAAACATGAGTACAATGCAAACTATAATTCAAATGTTGGCAGCAAAAAATGGGATAGATCTTGCAAACATTTCCGGGTTAGTTCCAAGCAACAATGTCGGGGAGGATGCACCGCGTGTAAGGGAGGATGAAACTTCTCTCGGTTGAAATAGAGGTAAATTTGACACCTCATTAAATTGATTTACTTTATTTAACCAATCCTAACACACGTCAACAATATAAAATTTTATAAACTTTGTATTACAATCCTAGCATTACAACCTTTACAATAGATTGATAAAACAATAGCTTCACAACAATTTTTTGATTAATTTTAACTATATTTGTATATTATAGTTGAAGTTGATGCATTAATAAAATACTCATGTTTTTATCCTTTTGTTCACAGGTTGGTGATGGATGTTCGTGGTTCAGTAGTGATGTATATCGTTTTGCATGCAGCCATTCATTTAATTTTTCTTTGTTTCGTTTTATAGGTTATTTTGTTGAATGTTTATATACTTTTTGGAATTATTATGTTTGGGATTGTTGGATATAATTAGATGCATTTTAGGATTCTTATGTTTAGTATTGTTGGATATTTGAATAAAATTTGGGATATTGAAATGCATTTGATATTAATTTGGTTACATTACTAATTGTTATGATGTGTTCAGTTTAGTTTTTATTATTTGTTATATAAAGATTTTTTTTTTGTATGTTTTACAGAGAAATACAGGTTCAGGAAATGGATCAATTAGGGTATAGGTGTAGTATGAATTGCTAAGTAATAATAGGTCATGGGAAGTTAAGATTGAATTTGTTTTAGATGGTTAGGCTGACAATATTTTAATCATCAGGAAAAAAGTATAGGGTGTCAATGTGTCCTATTTTATCTTGCATTTTTTTATGTTCATTTGCAGTAACTTGTTTTCAAATTCATCTTTTGTTCCCAAAAAAAAAGAAAAAATGGCTTCATCTTTAATTCTGCTGGCTGCTGCTGCTGCAATGTTGCTGTGAGGCGTGCATACTGCTAATCCATCTGATGAAGGTGCACCTGTCAGAATGTGGGTGAAGTTGCACCTGTCAGGCATGCGTGTTGAAGGGAAGGTAACAACTAGTATATTCTTATTTTTAGACTAGACTGTGTATGCATGGTATATTTTTTCATTTGTATTATATGTTCATAGCCTATAATGAAATTGAATATTATATGAACGTTGAAAACTCATGGTTAAGATATCTGTTAGACTTGTGGTTAACAAATTAGAATAATATAGTAGTCTTCATGCATAATGGAACTCCTTATCTTCCAGGAGCAAACTAATGCTACAGTGCACTCATCCTTGTATTTTATACCTTTTAATAAAAGAATTCTTAAATCGGGCCACTGGTCGGTATTTGGTCACCATTGGATAGGTTGAAATATATGGGTCTGAACCAACCCACAGGTTGTGGCCTATAGATCCACCACCACTGCATCCTGCTGACGTAGAGCAGTCCTAGTTGGAAAAAACAAGCAAAATGAGAGAGAGACTCTGATTGACAGTTGGATACTTATAGTATTAGATTACTATGTAGTATCCTTATAGTATTGTCAATATTGACTCACTTTTGTTAAGTAATTAAAGAAATAATGAATGACATACCTAAATAAGACCAAATGATATTTCAGAACTATTTAATAATTTCTGATCAACTGAGTTTATTTTGTCTACTTATAAAACAAGAATAATGGAAGAAAGCTCGAACTCAAAGCAAATGGCTACCAAATGGATTCAAGATTAAAAGACTAAAACTCAAAAAGAGTCATTAAACTCTTTTTCTTCTCATAATTCTAATTATCAATGTTCTTCTTCTATTTTCAAATTTTTGTTTGCATAGACTGTAACCCTTGTTGTTTGGCTCAAAGAGAAAAGAGTTACCATTTATGAAGTTTATTAAACCTTACCCTCTAGTGTTACTGCAACAACAAACAACAAAACTAAAGGGCTTCTTTTAATAGCTGTTTTGAAGGATTCAAGTGAAGAAAATGTTTAGGTTGTCTCTCCTTTTATAATTGTTTGGAGAGGCAAAGTTTTATTTTAATGATGTATATAAACTACACTAGATGTACAAATTTCATGTTGGCTTTTCGCCAAAGCAGGAAATTGTAAAGGTTGAGAGAGGAAGACAATAATTAGACCATGATTTTGTGTTCATTGGCTGCCCAACTACATAATGACGGCAACCTTCAAGAAATTATAGGAGAATGCGAAGATTGTGTAACAATATGCATGCCTTTCTGCAAACAATAGCTAGAAATTGGTGATGGGATAGTCATTTGGTGTACCTAACAGGTTTTATTGGCTACTAGTCGTGGTCATTTAGTGTACCTACAAATTGGTGATGGGATAGTGACAGAAGTGAAACATGCACAATTGGAGTATGATATATCATGCCTTGATATAAATCCCATTGTTGAAAATCCCAACTGCAGTCAGCTAGCTGCCATGGGAATGTGGACTGATATAAGTGTTAGAATATTTTTGTTTACTTGACTTGAATCTCATTACGAAGGAAAATTTGGGGGGAGAGATTATACCACTCCTTTTTCTTTTATGTTCATTTGAAGGGGTATGTTTTATGCGTAAGCTTTATGGGCCTTTGTGTTCTGTATTTTTCTTGATCTACATGCATGCAAATTGTTTGTGATCATAATTCATGTCAATAGGCATCTTTTGTAAAATCTCAAGAATCTCCTATTGTAGCGGACAATGGATCGCAGGCGTCCAATACCGGACAATTGGGAATGCAAGCTCTTGGTGAAGGTTAGTATCTCTTACTGTCTAAATGTTTTATTTATTTATTGATTTATTTATTTATTTATTTATTATTATTATTATTATTATTATTATTCTATGCTTTGAGCATATGCATATATATCGGGTGTGTTTGTAAGGGTGTTGGTGAGTCACTCCTAATCTTTTCCATGGTCAAAAACATTATTAAATAATTTTCATGCTCACTTCTTAATATATTGCATCCATGTAGCAAGAATCAAAGGGAGTTGGATTGATACTGGCAGAGCACGAGTAATAATGTTCTTTTCTATATTATTTTAACATTAATTTACACTTAATAATTAGATTGTCTATGCATGCATAGACATACATGTGAGTATGATTTGCATACAAGAAATTTTGGTTAATAGAGGATTAGAAGCATCACCGTATCTATCACTACAAGAAAATGCACTTTTGGTGACTAAAGTTTTAGTCGCCAAAAGTAAGGTTTTTAGTTGCCGAAGCCTTTTCCCGACTAAATATTTTGGTCACTAGATTTGTCGCGGGAAAACGGTCAGAGAAGGTTTTGGCGACTAAAAAATATTTAGTCGCCAAAAGTCCTATAAATGGCTACTAATGTTTTAGTAGGGAAAAGTACGAGGTATTGGCGACTAAATATTTTTTAGTAGCCAAAAGTCATAAATTGGCGACTAAATATTTAGTCGCTAAAAGTTTTCAAATAAAATTAGTTTTCATTTTCAGCGGCAAAAACTTTTAGTCGCTCAAAGTATCATTTATTATCAGCTACTAAATATAGTCGCCAAAAAAAATTAATTTTCATATTTTTTTTTTAGCTACTAAACTATTTAGTCGCCTAAAGTCTCATATATTTTTTACTACTACATTTTTAGTCGCAAAAAAATCTTTGGTTTGGTTTTGGCTACTAAATTTTTAGTAGCCAACAAGTTTTATTTTGTTTTTTTGGCTACTAAACATTTTAGTCACCAAAAACTTTATTTAGTGTTATTTTTTTTATTTTTATTATTATTAATTTCTGCACAACTTGTATTTATTTTGTGCAACCTGCACCCTGTATATAAACAAAACAATACATATGTCTATTTCTATTTCACTTTCAACCATCCAAAAATTTGGTCTTGTAACATCAAATTGTATACAAACCAAATATAATCCAACCCAAAATAATAATTCCATACAAACAGAAAATCATACAAAAATGATGTCCTCCGTATACAAAAAAATCTATACCACCAGAAAATAATTTCATCTCTGTTGGATCAACAACTATTGCAGTAATTGGTAGTGGAAAAGCTCGAGTTTGTAAAAGTCTTCAAGTAACAAGGTCCCATACCTACAATATGAAAATAAGTCATTTCGAGAACATAGTGAACATGACAGACTTATTTGCTTTTATGGAATTGATTGCTTAGGCATGGATGAAGGATTCCTTCAATGTGGTTATATCTGAGGTCGAGCTCTTCAAGTTTCTTCAGTTCACATAAACCTGCAAAAGCAACAAATTTATGTAATGCCCATCTCACTAGTCATGCTAGAAGAAATTTATATGCTACTCTTTAAAATGTTTACTATTATATGAAATTGACTACCTCTTAAGAGGAAAGGTAATGATAGTTCAAAGTGTTCATCAATGATGAACAAATTAAACAAGCACAAAGCAATGAACTTAAAATAATAATAATAATATATATATATTTACAGGTCAATCAGTTAGTGCTTCAGGGCCAACTAAAAAAAATGATTTTAATTTTTTACGGTCTACAATGGCATTGATAGATTAGAAAAACCAGAAAAGGAAAACACAGTAAAAGGAAATAAAGATTTGACTTGTAAAAAGGAAATAAAGATGATTAATGATTTTCCACAGTTTGCTTGCCAGAAGGTGGAAAAGGAAATAAAGATGTGAAGAGTCACTTGGCCAATATGTAGTGTAGCTGTAAGATTTCATTTTCTAATTACTTTTAAGTCTTCTCAACACTCAAATGAAGCTTAAAAAATTAACTTTAAAGACCAAGAATTAAAAAAAGAAAAAAAAGAAAATACGTGCACCTTGGTTAGAAAGTGGTCCTTCCATTGCATTGTCATGTAAGGATAGAAACTTAAGTGAGGGGAGAGCACCCAAAATCCGTAAGATGTCCTTGTCGAAAGAATTACGACTTAGATCTAGATGTCTCATCTTGCTTCACTTTTCTTTTTTTTTTTTGATCGGCAAAATGAAAGACTTTATTGATGATAAAACCATACAAAGTATGAAAAGATACATCAATAAAGAGGTGCTTGGAGCTAAACAAAGCTCCAACTTCCTAGTTGGTGAGAAACCAACAAAGAAAACAAAGCCAGAAGTAGCAACAGAGCAAAGCAAAATAGACCAGAACAAAACAACAATAAAAACCAGAGCAACAGACCCCAGCAATGCAGTAGCATTAGCAGCAGAGTGCAACAAACCCCATCACAAGTTATACCCTAACAGATCATGATGCACTAGAACAAAACAACAATATATACCAGAGAGGCAGCACAACAACATCATAGAGGCACCAACATAGCAGAGAGGCTCCAACAAACCCCAACAGTATAGCAGCATTAGCAATAGAGTGCAACAAACTTAGAAGTCCACTTAGATAGTAGCATATGACCACAATCAAATGCCATTAGAAGTCAACTACAGAGAACATAGTGAACATGACAGACTTATTGCTTTTATAAGTACTTCAAAAGATTTTCACTTCATAGTGGACAGAACTGAGACTGGCTTTCTTAACATAGGGTAAGGAGCTGTAATTTTTTTTATAATTATGCTTCCTGACAGTTTTTTCCCACCAATAGTTTTGTGTGAGTAATCTGATGCATGTTGGAAAAGTAGGGAATTAGGCAACAAACTTAAAACAAAATAGAAGATAAGCCCACATCCAGTTAATCAAGGAAGTTGAGTTATACCTTGCATTGTTAGGGAGCTAAGCCCACATCCAGCTAATTCCGGCATCTCCAAGTTTTCGAGCACTGTTAATTCTGCAATAAAACAAAATAGAAGATACTAGTAAGATAAGGATGGATTTATATTATTTTTGGGAGTTATATTAAAGATAGACATGCCTTGGGCAGGAAACAAATCTCCCAAGTTAGCGTAGCCAAGAAAAAGATTCTTCAGAGATATCAATGAACTTAAACATAGAATGATGCTCTTGTTGAAGTAGTTGTCACTAAGGGATAAAGTCCCCAGCTTTTTCAATCTTGACAAGGTCTCACAACCTGCAGTAAGTTATTGTAAACTTATGTTCATATTTATAGAACCATGATCATATTAGTTAATGCAAATTTAACTCGATCTAGCTTTCAATAAAGTTGTAAGGTTAAAAGAACGACATTAAACAAAACACTAGGATAATCCATCATGTTCATAGTTACCACTTTTGGTTCAGTTTTTTTATTTTTAAAGATCATTGTCATTTTTTTGTTTATCCTAGAAAATCAAGTTGATTGAAGAAAGTGAGTTGTCCTCCAAATAATATATTTTGGAGAATACAAAAAGTTGAGGTAAACAATGGTTAAAGGAGAAATTAAGTTACATGGACTCCTCAAAATAAATAAAATACGAATGTCAGACACGTAACACTTGAATAAGGGTTTGAGATATATGTCTAACACTTTCCATAGGACACTTCTTATATATTCATATTTAAGACTATCACTGTATGCATATATTGTTGTATATTGCTATCAAATGAGTAAAATAGCTTTTTGACTCTAAAGTGGTGTTTGATAACCTAATTCAACATTTAAAACTGAATGTATTAAGTAAATATCAATTAAGCTTGTTTGATTACCACAAATGGTATCACTTAAAAATTTAAGTAACTCTTAAAATGTAAGCTAAAAATTAAGAAAATTTTAAGTGATAGGAAACTTAATATTGCTGAGGTATTATTGCCAAAGGTTCAGCTCATATTGCTGAGGTATTATTGTTGAGGTATTATTGCCAAAATTTTGCATTACCACAAATGGTTCAGCTCATAATATTGTTGAGGTATTATGAGCCAATTTAGTGATTACAATCCAAACGGATGGGAAAGGTAGTACATTATTATTAGTAACTAACATCAAAATCTACAAATGACATGTGGTTCTTCTACTCTTCTAATTGAAAACTTGAGGCTGGAATGTAAGTTTCAGGAAGTTGTAAGTTTTACCTTGGATCCCACTAATTAGATTAGAACTTAAATCCAACGTTTCCACATTCCCCAAATAAGCCAATTCTGCCCAAAAAAATATCATAATAACAATATTTAATAAATAAAGTCATGAACTTATAACATAGTAATAACAATTAACAATATAAAATAGTAAGAATGATTAGGAATAGATGATTCAACTAACTAGAAAAAAAAAAAATCAAATTTATTTTTCTGAAAGTGATGGTGCTTCATTTCATTGGGCAATATTATAATTTCATAGAAATTATAATTTCAAAAATCAAACCCATAAAACGAAAATCAAACCCATTTTCGACATGAAGAATATCATAATTTCATAGAAATCAAACACTTCAACCAAACCCATTATCGAAATCAACACAAAATTAAACTATTTAATATATTTAAAATCCCTCCAAACTATTTAAAATATCTCCCACCATGATTTAGACAAACATATAATAGCTTGGACAAAGTACAATTAGACAAATTAAATAAAGTGCACAATGATATAGAGATAATAGAACGACAAAACTCAAACTTAAAATCTCGAATCAAAACATTGATACCATGTTAAATCACTTTTCTAATATCTCAAAACATCATGAAGGACACCTAAAATTATATATAGAGAGAGACAGAGATGAAATATTAAATTCAACCCTACATACTCAAAGCAGATGCCTAGATTGAATGCCTCAATAGCATTATTTGATCAGTGGATGGGTCCTCAAGCAATTGTGCAGTTGATTCATTATCCTTTTTTTATCTATTCATTCAAACCCCTGTGAATCAGCCATTGGTGGAGGACAAGTAGCAAGAGGCTATAAAGCTTTGTGTAACAAAAATTTAGCCCACTTCAATTTGGAAATTGGATCAGTTAAGGAATGAGTGGCAGTGGTGGAGGTTTAGCCTTTGTCTGGATGTGAATATATAATAATCCTATGCTATATCAAATTATAGTCAAGCTTTATACTGTGTTTTTTCTTGTTATGTAACTTCTTCCATGCGAGGACCTCAATCAACTTTGTTTCTTTCTCATTATCAGAGAAAACCACATTATAATCTTAGGCATGAAAAATCTAAGGTGCTTTGTTCTGCAAGGTGAGAATCTAGATCAGAGGAAAGGAGAGATTTTTAATCTGTTTTGTTTACTTGTGATTAAAATCTCAACTAAAGTGTTAGCGTTGTGTTTGAATCTTAAGTTTGTGAGAAATTTTACCCTATTTAAAAAAAAAATCAATACTATGGTGATACCACATCATCACCAACACATAGTATCACTATCTAATAACAAATTATCATGCAAACATAATAAACTCCACTGTATATATGTGGTAATTACAAAATTAACTTAGAACATAAAATTACATCTCAATAACAAGGTTAACTATCCCATGTGTAATTTCCTTATTGGTTAGTGTCAATGATGACGTTAAAAGCTGCAAAAATGTTTCATATTTAATTGAAAGCTGTTCAATATTTGCTAAGTTAGCTTAGCAACAAGCCATTTCCAAGCTATGTGGAAAAAAAAAAAAAAAATGTGTGAGAGAGAGAGAGACCTGTAATTTCAAAGTTATTGACAACCTACATATTTCACTCTGTTATCTGAGAATACAAGCTCTCGAAATCAATGTCTCCCATTCCTGTATCTTCCTCTTCATCACTATCAAATTGGAGCTTTGTTAATAATTGGGAATCAAATCATTACATATGCAACGTGAATGGAGTGTATGATAAGTGGGCAACTATTGATAGATAAAGGAATAAAAATATGTAACTTTTGTTGTCTCTACATATACATCATTGGATTTTTACTTGGATTGAGTCTGAGATTGAGACTTTAATTCGGCAGACTCTTATTTGAGAATGATTAGTGGAAAAACTCTATTATTTATTTATTTATTTAAGGTTTAAGGTTTAATTACATTTATCAATTAAACACAATATTAAACGGTCTCATATCGATTAGTGAATCTCCCGTACATATCTTGTGCTTTAGTTACCATATTTATTGGTTATATATTGTTAATTAAAAAAAAAAAATCAATTTAGCCATCCTAAGAGGCAAAAGGGTCTCCGACTGTCCGAAAGTATACAACAATTGATTTAATTATGTGTAAAATATTGAGACATTCAGAGCACTAATTGACAACAAATTTTAACAGTATAAGATAAGCAACAAAGGCAGAAAAAAATTAGACATGTTGTGGAAGCTTTAACTCTTTAAATAGGACTTCAAAGAGAAAACCATGACAACTTTATGAAATCTAGCTTACCTTGCCTTGTTCCTTCTTTTTTTTTTTCTTTATTATTCATAGACCCTGCATGAAATTTGCAAGAACTATAGAGTCAGCATGATTTTCATAGGTAAAGAATTAAAGCAAAGTTGTCTAAAGCCAAATATCATACACCTCAAAGGCATGGCCAATTGTGCTACATACTCAAGAAAAACTACTCAAAATTGTACCCAAAATTTAAACATTTGGACAAGCACCCAACAAAGATTCTACCTCACTTCAAGTTTTGAAACACCTTACTACAACAAAAATTAAACCTGTACATGGTATACTTATTTAAATTAGAGATGAACTTTGCCTCTTCTCTTACAATCACATGGAATAGAGTAAAAACAGAGGATTTGACCCTTTTTTATTAATTACCTTAACATGGTTGTAATATCCTTTAACAACAGGTGTTAAGTATTGCCCTTTATTTCTAGTTCACTTCACATACTATTTCCATGCTCCGAAGCTATCATAGTTGCTCACTAAACTCAACACAAGGTTTGATTCCATACCTTTTGGCCTCAACTACAACAAAATCCAACCAACCTGTTCAAACCGACAAAAGGAATAAGAGGCCAGGAGGAGAAAGATAAAAACACACCACTACTTAAAACATAATAAGTTTTCTTATGGGCATATCATTAAACACATGGTGTACAAAGTTTTTCTATACTAACAAACACCAAGACATGAACATTAGCAAACCTAAAAAATTGAAAACTATAAGGTGTAAAACTGCCTCCCTCTACCACATACACACAAATCGATATGGACAAAGATATTGATGAGTAGGAATAGATGATTCAACTAACTGGACAAAAAAAAAAATCAAATTTATTTTTCTGAAACTGATGGTGCTTCATTTCATTGGGCAATATTATAATTTCATAGAAATTATAATTTCGAAAATCAAACCCATAAAACGAAAATCAAACCCATTTTCGACATGAAGAATATCATAATTTCATAGAAATCAAACACTTCAACCAAACCCATTATCGAAATCAACACAAAATTAAACTAAAAAAATCATATAAACCCTAGATGAAGTGTTACAAATGGGGAAATAGGGGAAGGGAGAAAGAGAGAGAGACACAGAGAGAGAGAGAGGGAATGGCTCGACACAGAGAGAGAGACCCAGGTCGACAACGAGGGAGAGGACCGAACGCGACGGTGACAAACCTGTGATTTGCGGCAGTGTTGGTGGTGATTTCAGCAATGGCGGTGGCGACGTGCGACGATGGGGATGGACAGTGGCCAGCAACAGTGGTAGTGACAGTCGGTGGTGAGAGAAAGAGGCAGATGGAGAACTGCTGAAGAAAGAGAAGAGACGCTGGTTTTTGGTTTGGAAACCAAAATATATATATTATACCATTGGCGACTAAAAGTTTTTTGTCACTGAAAGTATTTCATAAATCCCTCCAAACTATTTAAAATATGTCCCTCCAATAATTTTAGTTCTTTGGCGACTAAAATTATTTTTCGTCGCTGAACATAAACTTTTGGCTACTCAAATTTTGGTCGCCAAAGGTAAAAAATAATTTTTTATTTTCCAATCGACGACTAAAGCATTTTAGTAGCCAAATCTCTACCTACGACGACTAAAATTATTTTTGGTCGCTGAAAATAAACTTTTGGCGACTAAAATTTTAGTCACCAAAGGTAAAAAATAATGTTTTATTTTTCCAATCGGCGACTAAAGCGTTTTAGTAGCCAAATCTCTACCTACGGCGACTAAATTTTTTTTTTGTCGGCAATTTTGGCATTTTTGGCAACTAAATTTTTTTTAGTCGCCAATAAACAATATACCCCGACTAAAAAAAATTAGTAGCTAAATATTTTACTTTTGCCGACTAAAAAAAAGTTTTAGTCGCCATTTCTACAACTTTTGGCGACTAAATTTTTTTAGTCGCCAATTTTGGTCGCCAAAGGTGCAATTTGTTGTAGTGTATATTGGAAGCATACAAGAAATTTTGGTTAATAGAGGATTATAATTTTTGCTTTCTAACATATCTTGACCATACTAGAATCTTATTTTTGTAGGTATTGTGGTATAACTATATCTATATTTTATCTGTATCCATGCTTCATAGGTCATGTTACTTTAGTATTATTGAAAAGTGGTTGTTGCATGCTTGACTTGTAATTTTCTTGTGTATGATGTCAAAAGTTCTTAAAAATAAATGTTGGATAGTTTGGGGTGTGCTAAGAGAGAGAGAGAGAGAGAGAGAGAGAGAACATTACACTCTGATTCATACAGTTATTTATATATGCTTTGGTTGAACCTATGGTGATATTTTGGGGGCGTTACACTAAGGTTACAACTCAGTAGTTATCTAATCAATACAACCATTAAACAAACATTTCAATTCGCCATTTTATGGAAATTTTGTCCGCGAGAATCGGCACCCATATATACGCGCGGTTTTCGGGACTTTCACCCTAAACACACAGGCCAACTTAATTCAATGGAGTCCATCCCATTTCTCCTTCCAAATATCATACATATACAATGTATTGAAATACGGTCATATTCAATGACAACAGTTAAGAGATTAGTTTTAATTCACCTAATCCTTATACAATTTCTATAACAATCAAAGCTATCTTCTACCGATAGCCCAAAACAGATATTTCTAAACAGATATACAATCCCCAAGATAGATAAATTATCCAAATTCTCACAGGTGAGAGATAATACATATCCAACTCCACTATTGATATAAAAATTCATCGAATTTCATATTACCAATACCAATTTCATTATTTATACAAAATAATTATTTTAAACATTTTAGGGCAAAATGCTATTCTCTCTCAAATCCAACCATGTATCAAAATCAACAAATTTAACACAACACAGCCTCATATCTATACCCATAACTATTTTCAATTTGAAAATCCCTCTTTTGATTTTAAACCAAAACCCTAGGTTTGTCTAAAATCATCCAAATCCCACAATTATTTACACAATAACAAATAACTAAGTTAAAAATCATAGAAGAGTGTAGAAAGTCCCTACCTCAAGTTTAGAAGACCAGAGCACAATGGAGGAACTTCAAAGACGCTGAAATCAAATTTTGTTCGGACCAAATTGGAACTCTTGAGACACTCTACCTTTTTAACAAAGGCACACGGGTAGAGAACTCAACGGATCTAGGTGAAAATATAGAGAGGAGGTGAGTTCTAGAGAGAGAAGCTCAAGATCTAGGGTTTTGAAATGTTTTAGAGAGAAAGAGATGAAAAAGTGATGTAAAATGTGACTGTTATGAACTGATATACGCACAGTCTACTCAAGCGCAAGAGTTGACGCTTGAGCATCAGATACAATAAGTTGTTCCGCTCGAGCACAGAATGCACACTTCCAGTAGTTTTATAGATAACAGACCAACGCTCGAGCATAAGAAAGGCCGCTCGAGCTGAGCCCGCTCAAGCGCAGAAAGATCTGCTCGAGCATAGAATACACTCTCATAGTAGTTTTGCAAACCTGCAAAAATACTGGAGTTCACAAAGCCCACTCGAGCGTAAGAGGTGACGCTCGAGCGAAGGAGCAAAATTCTGGGCAACAAGAGTTTGGAAACTAAACAACTAACCTGTCCCAAACACAACCACAACAATCCAACAACCAGATTTAAGGAGATATGAGGGAAACAAAAGGTGAACGACAATATGAAACCATGAAACCCGAGTCCGGGATACAACAAGGGTCGGGTCAAAATCGGGATAGCTATAGTAACCCTTAGGGCATGTAATTATTTGGTTTTATTTTTATTTTAAATCAAGTATTTATGTCATATGCTATAGATTTAGGATTTAGGATATATGAATGTATATTGCATATGCCATCTTTTGTACTGACCAAAGATATAATAAATAGAAGATATGAGATTGTTGATCAATTGTAATATTGTTATGGGATGGATTAATGTTAATAATTTAGGGGGGCGTTACAGTTATGTTGTTCAATAGCATGATTACCACTACAACTCGATATTAATTCACTTAACGAGAATTTGTGCTGAGATGTTTATATTCTGAATCATATTTATACGGCCACTAAAGTTGTTCAACCCGAGAGTCATTTTTTTTTATATAAAATAAAATATTTTCCTAAATTAGTAGTCAATGTTGCCTAAGTGGGAGAATGTAAGAAATTTTCTTAATTAGGTTGTCATTAACTATATTTTGTTTGTTTTGTGAAAAACGGATAAAAAGTGATTCAGACAGATTGACTACTATGAACTTCAAATTATTATTGTGATCTATAAAGTTTTGAGCCATGGTCCATCTTAATGTATTTATTATTTTATATCTAGAAATGTAGTATGGAGGTGTAAGGTCTATTTTAAGTTGTTTGGGTTCCTAAATGTAAAGGCCTAGTAATTGTTTTATTTAGGCCTGATTCCCTCTCATATCTTTATTAGGGTTTACATATATTTATATATATGTAAATCAAAGGATTGTTAGTCCCTTGAAAGACAATGTAACGATTAGGAGGAGGCGAAGAGGGTGTTGTTAGGGTTTTCCAATTGTAAATATCATTCCTTGGTATCTCATGGCAATGACGAGATTAAACGATACGTATTTAAATCCACTAAAGCTGTTTAGTATGATCAAATCATCTTGATGTTTTAATTCCTAATATATAGATCTTGTAAATCTTACACAACGTGAACATCCAATTTCCTTTACACTTTTGAGTGACTGTTTAAATTTATACATCCGAGATCAAAAATCATACAAATGGATATGGTAAGGGTGTTAATTAAAGTTCATCATCCGGTTTAAACATTCATTATAGAAGAAATTGCATATTTAAGTTAGAATAATTGTAACTTTTTTTTTATGAAAATGCAAATTAAAGCAGGTAAGATCTGTGTTCCATTCCACAATTATCACTTGCACTAGACATATGTTCACTTCACTTGCACTTTCATGAAAATACAATTACCTTGTTTAGTTTAACACACTTTTCAAAAAATTAAATTTTTTGTTCTTCCTATTTTTTTTTTTAATTTTTTTTAGTGAATTTGTAATATTTTACATAATTTTTTATTTCTTAGATATCTAATCTAGATACACCTAAACAATATGATATTTGTGAGAAATTTTTTAAAAAAATTCACTAAATACAAAAAATATAAAAAAATAAAAATAAAATTCAATACATTTTCGTATTTTGTCATATTCAATGAATTTTTTTTTAAAAAAAATTATACAAATTTTGAATTTTTTAATCATATCAAGATTAAATGGATCTAAAAAGTTTTTTAAAAAAAACAATTGATGAAAATATTTTTAAAAAAAATTATAAAAATATAAAATTACGAATTAAAAATTCAAAAAACTGTTGAAAACTCCAAACTAAATTATTTCCCCCTAATTATACATCTATTAAAAAGAGTTTGTTTAAACCATAACATAGATAAGCCTCTACCAATTTTGTCTCACTTTGAAAATTTGCTAAGTGGGTTAAGAATTTAATAAAAGTGAGCTTGTCTGTTGAATGTATTTTCCAAACCATTCAACTGATTAATCAAAATATTTTTCTTTTTCTCATCAAACAGTAGAAAGAGATTTTATTCATGAGAAAAGAAACCATCACACAGAGGTCCCATTCCCATTCTTCAAAACAGGACATGAAAGAAAAGATATCTAACAAGATTTCCTAACAGAAAATACAGTTTGTGCTGCAGTAAGTAAAAGCAATGCAACAGCAGCAAAAAAAGAGATGAGTGCCCATGCAGTGTTGAAATAATCCTGTCTTAAGGTTGCCAACCATACGTTGCATCTCCCACTGCAATGCTTGTTCACATCGTGATAAACTTGCTCGTAACATATCAAAGATACAAAGACATTGTTGACAAGCTTGTTCAACACAGTCGAAACCACTTCATTGTCACCTAAAAGGTTACGAATAACTCCATAGTTCCTCAGTATTTGGACATCGTTTGAGGAGTTCACAAGGTAATCAATAAAATTCAAATATGCAGTGAAATAATTCATAGAAGAAGGGCGAAGATATTGCTCATATGCAATTAAATTTCTAAAAACAAACTCTGTAGTGTCATCAACGATTAAATATAGGATTTCCATGGTCCTATTTACAAACCTTATATCGAACAAATTCCTATTTATATTAAACTTCTTGAATTTGATCTCGGCTTCCCGGAGCTCAGTTGCAGACTTCATCGATCTATCTCTTCCCACAACACGTCTTTGGGATACCATTGAATGAAATTCATAGAACCAACAATAATGCAGCAGGCCTAGAAGATGTTTGATGTCATCTTCCCTTGGATTTTCATATCGTGATTCCGAAAGATTACCCGGTGTTATCTTATCGAAATATTCAAGGGACAAAGTAATGATGTTTTCTGGTGAGCCTAAAATTGTGGTCATCTTGAACAACCTCATGAGGACAAAAAATGGTAGTTGATTTTCAAATAACATTAAATCGAGCACTAAGTCAAGTTTAATATGACCCAAATGGAAAATGAAATTTTCCATACCTCCCAACTGTGTCATCCCTTGCGAGCAAAATAACACGAGGATGAAGCAACTATCAAGAAGCATCATTTCCACAAACTCATTTGAATCAAGGCTACTTGGTTCTGCATAAAAATTGCGTGCTCTTTTTTCTAATTGTTGCATGGCCACAATGTATCTTTACACACTGGTTCATTTCTTTGTTCAAGAAGTTGTCGTAAGATATGTAGTTTATACTCTTCCATTGGTTGTAGTTTTTTCTTACCATGGTGATAAGGACCAATAGCAACTACTTATGTTTCATAAGAATTTTGATTTTCGTTTCCCTAGTACATACCCTGATTTGGATCAAAGCAGTGGTTTAAGGGTGGTCGTGGCAAGCCCTAAACAGCCACACCTACTATGCTGATTATAAGCTGGAACTGCCAGGGGTTGGGACGACCTCTGAGGTTTGTGTAATATCCATCGTCTTGCAATAATGTTTCTCATGGAAACTAAGAATAAACAACCCATGCTTGAGAGAATTAGAAGAAGGTTGGGTTTCTCTTATATGTGTTGCGTGGACCCTGTGGATAATTCTGAAGGCCTTGCTCTTTGGTGGAGGGATGACATATCTTTGCAGGTCATATTCAAATCGGCTAATATTTTTAAGTGTGTTATCAATGATGGACCATTGCAAGATGGGTGGATGGTAGCTTTTGTCTATGCCTCTCCATGGTGGTCGAATAGAAAAGTGCTTTGGCAGTACCTTAAAGCCATGGTTGTTGAGAATAGATATCCTTGGGTATGCTTAGGGGATTTGAATGAAGTAGGTAGCAGTGGAGAGAAGCAAGGTGCAACTGGGTGTAACCTCTCTAGAATACAACACTTCCAAAATTTGCTTTCGGAATGTGAGCTTATGGATTTGGAATTCAAAGGCCATCCATATACGTGGACAAATATCCAACCTGGGGTTCATAATGTTTGAGAGAGGTTGGATAAAGCTTTAGCTTCGGTGGAGTGGAGGCAAAAGTTTTCCCATGCCCAAGTTTTTCATAAAGCTTTGACAAGGTCTGATCACTGCCCACTGGTTCTCCATTCTCTTGTCCCACCAAAGAAGGTACCTCATTTGTTCAAGTTCGAATCCATGTGGACCACTAGTGCAGAGTGTGTGGAAGTCATTAAGGCCAATTGGCTCCCTCCGAGAGTCGGTTCCCCTATGTTTAATTTAGCCCAAAAACTCAAGTCTTGTCAAAAAGGACTAATTTCTTGGAGTAGGACAGCTTTTGGGGACAATAGAATCAAAATGGCTTAGTTATAGACCAAACTTCTGGACCTCCAAATGCTACCAATATCGGATGACAATTTGAATGTCATCAAAATTGTGCAAAGTGAGATTCAGGATGTTTTAGCCCAATAATAAATGTTCCAACACTAGCGTTCTAGGATCAACTGGCTGCAATATGGGGACAAGAACTTAGCTTTCTTTCACACCACTGTTACTCAGAGAAGGCAAAGAAATCAGTTGAATAAACTACAATTTGATAATGGGGAATGGATTGAATCTGGTGAAGCCATTAATGCACATCTGCAAGACTAATTTCAGAAACTCTATCAAGCTACACCACGAAGGGATACGAGTTAGCTTTGGAGGTGGTAAATTGTGATGTAACTAATGGTATGAATCGGTTCCTCACCAGACCAGTGACTAAAAAGGAAATCAGGTTAGCCACCTTTCAGCTTGGGGCTTTAAAGGCTCCTAGGCCTGATGGTTTTTTAGAGATTTTTTTTCATAAGCATTGGGATGTAGTCGGCCAGGAGGTGTGTGCAGCAGTGAAAATCTTTTTCCATGGGGGTTTGTGCTTAAGGAATTGAATCATACCAATGTGGTCTTAATCTCCAAAGTAGTTGGGCCAGAAAAGCTAATTCAATGCAGACCAATTAGTTAATGCAGCTTTTCTATGAAGATCATTACAAAGGTACTAACTAACCATCTGAAAATGATCCTTGGCCAACTTATTACTCCAAATCAGTCTGCCTTTGTGCTAGGGAGACTTATTCAGGATAACATTCTAGTGGAACATGAGGCTTTTCACTTCTTAAAGCACAAACAGAGTGGGCAAAGGGTAGATATGGCTTTAAAACTTGACTTCAATAAGGCTTATGACAGGATTCAATGGGATTTTTTGGAAGTTGTACTTCACAAAATGGGGTTTGCTAGGCAATGGGTGCAATGGGTTATGCAATGTGTCACCACTGTTAGATTCTCGAATTTTGCTAATGGGGAATGTCGGGCTATTGTTGTTCCTTCTTGTGGTCTTCGACGAAGAGACCCCCTCTCTCCTTACCTTTCCTCCTTGTGGCTAATGTTTTGTCCAAATTATTGCACTGTAATCTAATTAGACAAGAAATTTTAGGACTTAAAATGAGGAGAGCTTGTCCTACTCTATCTCACGTCTATGGTCGTCAAAGGGGAAATTTGTTCACTAAAGGGGGTGTCTCAAGTTGATCCCAAGGCAAAGTATTTAGGCCTACCGTTTTTGTGGGGGAGGTCCAAAGCTGATGCTTTCGGTTTTTCGGTTGAGTGAGTGTTTGCAGAGTTACAAGGATGGAAATGCAAGTTGTTATCTCATGCGGGAGGGAAACTTTGATCAAAGCAGTTGCACAAGCTATGCCCTCATTTGCGATGGCTTGCTTCTCTTTACCTCAAAGGATTTGCAACAAATTGAATGCATACATCCACAATTTTTGGTGGATGGGTGATCCTGAGAGTAGGGGGATTCATTGAACAGGGTGGGACACTATGACAAAACCTAAGGTTGTTGGAGGAATGGGTTTTAGAGATTTCAAAGCCTTTAACCAAGAAATGTTGGCTCAACAAGGTTGGAGACTACTTCAAAATCCTTCCTCTTACTGGGCTAAGATGTTTAAGGGGCTGTACTTTTGTCACTTCATCGTCTTACAGACAACTCGAGGAGCTAGGGCCTTATGGGCTTGGTCTAGTATGTTGTATGGTAAGGAGCTTCTGTTGAAAGGGACTAGATGACAAATTTATAATGGCCACTCTGTTAATTTTTAGATTGACAAATAGTTTCCTTCAGTCCCTAATTTTCGAATCTCCTTTGCAAGGCTTGGCAATACTCCCATCAATATAGTGGCTAATGTTATTGATCCAATCCACAAGTCCTGGAAGATGGAGATCTTAAAGACTACTGTGTCTCCAAAAGAATGCAAAGCCATTATTGTTATTCCCATCTCAGTAGTGGGCAAAGATAATGAGTCAGTATGGAATCAATCTAACTCTGGTGTTTTCTCTGTGAAGTCTGGGTATGCACTTGCCAACTCAATATAGTCAGAACTTTCCAAAGATGGGCATGCAACATCTTTTCAACTCCCCTCAAATTTTTGGAAGCTCATTTGGAGTCTGGAGATGCCCCCAAAATTCAAACATTTCTGGTGGAGAGCTTGCAAAAACCTGTTTGCTATGAAGACCAATTTACTTAAATGAAAATGATCAATGAGTGGGCCTATCTGCCTTTCTAATGAGGAAACTATGGAACATCTGTTCTTTGATTGCCATTGAACCTAGGTGGGGTGGTTTGGGAATCAGCTGACTTTGCAACTTGATTGGGGTACAGTGCATAACCTTATTGCTTGGACTAATTGACTGCTGGGATCTATTTCAGCCAGTTCATCTAGGAAATTTCTCTTAAGTCAAGTGATTAATGTAGCTTGGCAAATTTGGAAGACTATAAATGACTTTGTCTTCAACCATGTCTCTGTTAGCCCCTCTAAAACTCTGCATTGAGCAAATCAAGCTTGGAAGGAATTGCTTTATTATTAGCAGAGTGTAAAAACGGCCTAGTCCTGCCTGGTCAGAATTTTTTATTTCAATGAATTAACTAAATAAAATAATTTTTTTAACTACTCTTATATATACAATAATAAAATTACCTGAATTATTAATTGAAATATATTTATAATATCATTAAATATTATTACTTGATAGGATAATTTATTAATAAAATGGGTCATTTGTTATGTGATTAGAAACGTGAAGGGATAGAATGTAATTTTCAGAACCACATGGATAATCTGTATTTTAAGCAAATTTTAAGAGATGCATTTGTAATTTACTCATTTTTCTTTTACTTTTTTTAGATTTGTCTAGACAAAGATGGACCTGAATGTAAAAATTTTGACATACATTTGACATAATATATTCATCATTTTTGGAATGTAAAATTTACTTTAATTCTATGTGCTTTACTCATGTGCAATTTATCTTAGAAGATTTAAAAAGAAACACAACTCTTATGTCTTGGCACGTATTTGGCACTTACTGTTATTTTGAATAAAATATGTGACGGTGTACTTTGTTCATAAATTACAATAGGACAGTGATTATTTTCAAATAATTGGGATAATCCCCATCCGAGCCAAAACCATAAAGGAGAAAACTCAAATTTATCCCTATTTACAGAAAAAAAAATTGTATAAAAATAAATAAATAAATAAAAAGAATGCTTTGGAAATTTCTACAAACTTACTCAACTTTTGCCTTCAACGGTTGAAGACAACTCCAAACTTTAGGACAATTATTAATTACAACATCTTCTTCTTCTATTTTTTTATTTTTTATTTTTGAGTACTAATTACTAGTCTTAATGCAATGCTTAACATTAACGTTTCCTGAAAAATAAAAGAATTAAAAATAATAATAATAACTGTGTCTAAAAATAACAATAAAAAAGTGGCAATTCTACCATAATAAATTTGTAAAGTCAAACAGATTTTTGATATAAAAAATAAATAAATAAATAAAATAAAATAAAATTACAAAACTTTCTTACATTACTTTAAATTATCTTATTTGATGTGTCAAACTGACATAATATGATAATCAACATAAGTGGTAGGGCGTATTAAATCAATGCAATAATAACTTACAAGATGATAAACAAAATATAATAAAATAACATGGGCATCATAATATTATTATCATATTATTGAAGTAAGTCTACCAAAATTACTTTATTGTATGACTTGATTTAGTAATAAATATTGTAAAACATATTAGTAATATATTAGTTTGTATATTAAGATTATTTATTTTTCTAAATAAATTTAGTGAAATTTGAACCGTCGTTCACCATTCACCATTTCAATCCATCATTCATGATTCTAATGCTGTCATTCGTGCCTCACCGATCTAAATTTCTATCGTCATTCAACATTCACAATTGCCTCCACAAATTCCACTTCCACCATATTACCACCACCACCTTCTTCTCCTTGTTGCTTTTGTCTCCCTCTGTTAGGCTAGATCTTATCATTATCTCTCTCTCATGCATCTATCTTTCTCTTCGGCAATAGAGCATGTTCAGGATATATCATAGATTCCAACCACAGAAAGGGTAAGTTGAAACAAATCTGCAACAGAAAGGGTAAGTTAAAACAAATCTGCATTGATGGACTCAAAGAAAATTAGCCAAACAAATCCAAAACAAAGGGCTTCAAACTAGACAAACCCAAAAACAACAAACAAACAGAAAAAAAAAAATAAATAAATAAACAAAACAAGACTCAAAACCACATCCAAGCAAACTACCGGCAGCAGTGGCATCGGCGAGTCCGACAAAGGTGAAGGCGGCGGGGAAGAGGACTGAGAAACAGGCAGAGGTGGAGGCAGTGGTGATGGCGGATCTGTGATGCCACTCCCTGAGTTGATGGAGGGGAGGGGGGAAAACACCTCACAAAGGAGGGAGAGGGTGGAAAGCTAGAGCTTCCAAGTTATTGGATAGCAAAGCAAGTAAAAGAGAGAGAAAAGAGGGGTAGGGGAAGGGGGAGAGGAGGCCGGAGGCCGCCGGAAACCCCCTCCCCCACTGCCGGCTGCTGCAAGCTTTGAAACCTTAGGGGAAGAAAAGTTTAAAGAGAGAAGCTCTCAAACTAGAGAGAAAGAGTTTGTAGATATTTGATTCCTATCGCTGTCATTTGTGCCTCGCCAATTCAAATTTTTATAGTCATTCAACGTTCGCAATTGCCCTCACAAATTCCACTTAGTATATTATCGCCACCACCATCTTCTTTTCCTTGTTGCTCTTTTGTCTCCCTCCGTTATTCTCGTCATTTTGACAATGGTGACCGAAAACTTGTCCCTAATTACAGGAGGTGACAACCAACAGAAAAATGATCAAATATAAAAAGGGTAATATATAATTTACCTAATAAATAATAAAAAAGTGGCTGACCTTACCACTTAGACCAATAAATTTAACAAACTATAAATATATATATACTGTGGGGATATGTGGGGACATAATTTTTGAATGATGAACACGTGGCCGAAGTGACACTGAAGTGCCAGCCGGGTTGCCACGTGTCCTGGTCATGACGCCGAGATCATCTCGGCTAGGCCGAGGTTATCTGCGAAGATACCAGAATTCGGGATAAGCGGAAAAGGGACAAGAGTCCTAGAATGGGAGAAGACTTCAGTTTGGATAAAGATAAGACTCTTAGAGAGTTTATCCTAATCCTACTGGGAGTCCAAGATTAGCAGTAATCCTAAGTCCATTGAAGCTAGGCTTCTATTGGGATTAGGTAAGTGCTGGCTATAAAAGAGAGGCACCCTCATGGGTCTAAGGTATGTTTTTATGCTCTGAATAGTGAATTAAACACTTTCGCCATATTTGAGAGATATGTTACTGACTTGATTGTCGGAGTGTCCCCGGGTGGACGAACCACCGCGGGATTCTTATTTTTCTGTGACAGGTTGTTCGGGCTTAATCTATTTTGTCGGTGTTCTACAGCTGAGTACTAGTTTAGCAGTGTTGTCGGAAATTGACACACACAATTTGGCGCCGTCTGTGGCAACGAAAGAAGAATAGATGGCCAACAACGGACAGAAAGAGAAGGTTGGGAACGACATCCCTATTGGAAGTGGGAAACATGTAGACCTTGACGTTGAAGAAGACAACTGCAACAAAAAGACTCGTGATAAGAGTCACGGAGAAAATGACGTCGGCCAAGAGGGCGACGTGCCAAAGAAATCGGACCAAGGCGGATACTATAACGAAGACGACCTCCAGGTGTGGAAAAATAGATGCCTACGGAGGGACGGCGAGACGAAAGGAATAGCGGACAAATTGGCGGACCTGCAAACAGTCGTCAATTTTATGATGCAGAACAACGTTATGCAACTACCGTTCCCGTTACAAGATACGCCAATTCCAGCGGCCAAGAAGGGTGCCCAGAAATGGGGGCAGAAAATGGTTCCTACAGTCCCTCAACACGCCGGGGATGAAGGCGACAAAACAAGATAAGGGAAACGGCTCGCCGAAGCGAGGCCCGAGGTAACAATGGATCCAATAAACAAGAGACCAGGGACATGTTTAACACTTGTTGAAATTTTTAAAATTTACAAGTTGAGGTTAAACCGAGATCATGTTTAACACTGGTTGAAATTTTAAAAATTTACAAGTTGAAGTTAAACCGAGAACATGTTTAACACTTGTTGAAATTTTAAAAATTTACAAGTTGAAGTTAAACTGAGATCATGTTTAACACTTGTTGAAATTTAAATTTATAAGTTGAAGTTAAACCGATGTCATGTTTAACACTTGTTGAAATTTAAATTTACAAGTTGAAGTTAAACCGATGTTATGTTTAACACTTGTTGAAATTTTAAAAATTTACAAGTTGAAGTTAAACTGATGACATGTTTAACACTTGTTGAAATTTTGAAAATTTACAAGTTGAAGTTAAACCGAGGTCATGTTTAACACTTGTTGAAATTTTAAAAATTTACAAGTTGAAGTTAAACTGGCGTCATAATTAAAGGAATGAATTATATAGGTTCCATTACCTCAGAATGCCCAAGTAATAGAACCTAAGGGGCAGTTGTGGGGACATAATTTTTGAATGATGAACACATGGCCGAAGTGGCACCGAAGTGCCAGCCGGGGTGCCATGTGTCCTGGTCATGACGCCGAGATCATCTCGGTTAGGCCGAGGTTATCTGCGAAGATACCGGAATCCGGGATAAGCGGAAAAAGGGACAGGAGTCCTAGAATGAGAGAAGACTTCAGTTTGGATAAAAATAAGACTCTTAGAGAGTTTACACTAATCCTACTAGGAGTCCAAAATTAGCAGTAATCCTAAGTCCATTGAAGCTAGGCTTCTATTGGGATTAGATAAGTGTTGGCTATAAAAGAGAGGCACCCTCATGGGTCTAAGGTATGTTTTTATGCTCTGAATAGTGAGTTAAACACTTTTGCTATATTTGAGAGATATTTTACTGACTTGATCGTCGGAGTGTCCCCGAGTGGACGAACCACCGCGGGATTCTTATCTTTCTGTGACAGGTTGTTTGGGCTTAATCTATTCTGCTAGTGTTCTACAGCTGAGTACTAATTTGGCAGTGTGATCAGAAATTGACACACACATATACTAATTTTTCTTGCTTTCTAATTTGACACCTGTTACATCATCAGCAATACTATGATTATTAAATTATTTGTATGTGGACTGAATCATTATGATGATAACTAGCACAAATGGTCGGGGTTAATAAATCAAAGCAACAATCATATTTAGACTGTGTTGAAGAAGTGACTATTTTAATTAATTTTTTATAAAAAGATGTGTAAAAAAATAAAAAGAGTGATGTGATTGAGTGTTTTGACTTTTTTTTTTGCTATTTTAACCAAAAAGTCAACACCCCAAACAAAATCTTATAAGATAATATAGTCATCATGAAATTATTGTTATATTATTGAAGTGAATCCACCAAAATTTATTTGTTGTGTGACACAACATTATTATGAAAAAATTGAAAATTTTATAAGTTTTTATAGTAAGATAATTTATTTTCTAAATAAATTTAGTAAGATCTGGACTGATGTTAATAATTCATTACTTCAAAATCATTGTTCATGCCTTTATCGCTGTCATTTGTGCCTTGTCGATCTAGATCTCTATCGTTGTTCAACATTCTAATTAGCCTCTATCCATTTCACTTCTACCATTCCACTGCCACCACCTTCTTCGCCTTGTTGCTCTTCTGTTTCCCCTGTCAGTGTAGATGTACACATCTATCTATCTATCTATCTATCTATCTATCTATCTCTCTCTCTCGCTCTCCCTCCCCCTCTCTCTCTCTTTCTCCCTCCCTCCCTTTATCTTTCTCTATGTTCTCTCCTTTTCAAAATAGTATAAAATTTCATCGTCATCGTGACAGTAAACATTGTGACAAGAAAATTTCATTGTGAAAAGTCAGTAAAATTTTACTACACCAAAATGGTCTCCGAAAAGTGGTCAATGGCAATAGACGTTGGTCACTAAAAAATTGTTGTTGACTGAGGTGGTGACTGAAGCTTGCCTATGGCAGTTGGAGATAGATAGTGATGACATTAAGGGAGTAGGGTAATAAAATTTCACAAACGCACTACTACAATAATGCATAAAGATTACACAAGAGAAATTTAAAACATGTCACGTTTATTAGAAAAGTGATTAAAAGAATTAGAATGATATTTGAATCGCAATAAATGTTATTGAATGTGATAGTATTTATTTTTAATCAAATATGATTATATCTTTCTTTTTGAATCACAGTTGTTAAATAAGTGTGATTGTTTCTTCTTTTTTTTCAATTTTACTTTTATATAAAATATTATTCAAACACGCTCCAATTCTTTTGCCCACGACTGAGAGCACAACTTTTCATTTTCCAAAGATTTCCAAACACATGCTAGTCCTTATTTCAACCCTAGCGACTCCCTCAACTCTACTCTCTCTACCTCCGATCGCGTCGCAGCCGTTTTCACCTTCGATTGCGACCGACGCTCTCTCTAAGATTGAGATGGTAAAGAAGCGAGTCCCTATCTTCCTCCCTCTCTCCCAGCCACCAACTCAATCCCTCTATCTCCCACTCCCTCATCCCTCTTCATCACTTCAGTTATCTCTTCCCCGCAACAAACACAGCCCCTTTCAAACCATTTTAGGGCTTTGTTTTGCAATTGCTTCTTCGTTGATTCCAAGCTACTCCTCAGATCCTTCACAAATCCGATTAATGGTATTATCTCTCTCTCTCTCTCTCTCTCTCTCTCTCTCTCTCTCTCTCTTATTTTGGTTTCTATGAATGGGTGTTTTCTATAGGTTTATCTTCTCTAGTTTATGTTTATTTAGGTTTTTATGAAATTGTTCTTTTAATGCCTTTGGTTCAATTTTGGGCATGATTTACTTTTGGTGCACTGTTTGATTGTTGAGAATTAATAAAAAAAAAATAAAAAAAAGGGATAAAAACAAATAGGGAAAGTAAACAAAGTTATTGTCACCAATTTGGATTTATTTGGTTGATAGAAATTTAATCAACGAAGTTCATATTTTTTTTTTAAAAAAAAAAATTGTATTTTCTACATTTTGTTAGTAGCTGAATAGATTTTAACCCAATACTCATTTGTATTTTCAATTGTGTTTATACTATATATGTATGAATTGATATGTTAGTTTATTGTTTTAATTAATTTTTAGGATGAGAATTCTATAGAACATGAGATTCAATATAAAACTAGGGAAAATTAAACCTAAATGCCAACTATGTAGGACTCTTTTTCATATTTACATAATTTTGGAGAATAGTGATATATTAGTGTGGCAATAATCAAAGGAATTAAAAGTTTGTATTTGTTCCTTAACCTTTTGGTAGAATGACAGTGGAATGTAAGTATAACGATTGTGGTTTAGACTCGACCCATTTGATGTTCTGGATTCGGGTTTCATTGTCATATATGGTTAATCATATTTTGTTTCTCCTTATTCCTCATTGAGCTTGGTTATTGGAGTGTTGTAACGCCCCTAAAATAATATAATAAATATGACCCAACATGTGTTAATAACAACATAAATCAGCGTAAATAGTCATTTCATTACATAAAGTTAATGATACAGAAGAGTTTAACATAAATAAATTCCCTATGGGCTTACACCTTTCCAAGCCATGACTTGGTTACAACAAAAATGAGACTAGCTCATACAAATTAAGTCCTAGGCTATACAAAAATGACACAAAACAAAGAAGCTCTTGCTTCTCAAAAGTCTCTGCATTGCTATTACCTTGGTGGAGGCATGCCATCATTACCTGAAAATATGTTTCCCAAATAGGGTGAGCCACAGCCCAGTAGAAATAATCTAACGCAATATATGAGATTTAACAAAGATATAAGTGCATGTGCATACACAATGCCCAGGATAAAACATTCATACTTTTATATTGCAATAGAATACCAATTTCATATTCTATTATATTTTCCTTCAATTCATTTCAATATACATATATAAGTCAATTTCATTATTTCTTTCATAACCTAAATGAGACTACAACTCCATGATTCTACAATCGCATCATCAACATATAAACACTTCAAACTACTATTTTACGGATATTTCGTCCGCGGGATCGGCACCTATATATAAATCACAATTTGCCATTTTACGGATATTTCGTTTGCGGGATCGGCACCCATGTATAATTTCGAAACTTTTACCCAGGACACTCCAGCCAACTTAATTATAATGGAGTCCATCCCCTTTCTCCTCCTAAACAATCATACATTTGCAATTTATATGAATACATAATCACACATGGAGTATATCCCATTTTTTCTCCCAAATAATCATACATATACAATGTATATAATCATAGTCATATTCAATGACAACCAACAAAAGACTAGTTTCAATTCACCTAATTCACATGCAATTTCTACAACACTCGAAGCTATCCTCTATCGATAGCTCAATACAGATATTTTTAAACAGATATACAATCTCAAGACAAATAAATTATCCAAAATTTTCAAAGATGCGAAGTATTACATATTTGATTTCACCATCTATTACAATACTCACTCAATTTCATGTTTACAATACCAATTTCAATTATTTATACAAAATAATTATGATAATCATTTTAGGGCAAAATCCTTCTTTTTCAAAATATCAATCCAAGTACCAAAATCAACCATTTTGACAACACATGGCTTCATATTCAAACCCCATGTTCATTTATTTCGTTTCCATCAAAAACCCCTCTTTTACATTACGCCCAAACCCAAGGTTTGGCTCAAAATACTCCTAAATCCACCATTGTTACACAACTATAAATAATTAAGTTAAAAATCATAACAACGTGTAGAAAATCCCTACCTCAAAGAGAGAAGATGAGTCAAGCAAGAGAGAAACCCCAAAGATACCGAAATCCAACTCTAATCGGATCAAAGTGAAGATCTTGAGAAGCTCTACCTTTCTATCAAAGGGAGCATGGTGGAGAAATCACTAGATCTAGGCCAAAATATATATATATATATATAAAGAGAGAGAGAGAGAGAGAGAGAGTATTTTAGAGAGAGAGTCTAGATATAGGTTTTTAGAGAGAGAAAGGAATGAAAAAGTGTTATAAAATGTCACTTTTGCGATCTGATATATGCACAGTCTGCTCGAGCGGAGAAGTTGACGCTCGAGCGTCAGACACAAAGTTTTGTTCCGCTCGAGCGCAAAATACACACCTTTAGAACTTTTGCAAACAACATGCAGACTGCTCGAGCTCAATGAATTCCGCTTGAGTGCCAATCCGCTCGAGCGTAGGAAACGCCGCTCGAGCATGGAAATCATTTCTCTAGTATTTTGCAGATGAGCTAAGTACTGAGGGTTTGCAGATCCCGCTCGAGTGCAAGAAGGCCCGCTCAAGCGGAAGACCATAATTCTGGCCAACACAGGTTTGGAAAAACAAGCTACCAACCTGTTTCAAACCCACAACCACAACCCGATAACCAAAATAAAGGGGAGACAAGGGAAACAAGATATGAATAACCATTTAAAACCATACGGATCTGAGTCCAGAATATGACAAGCAACAGGTCAAAATTGGAATCGCTATAAGTGTCTTGATTGCATTTGGAACAGGTTGGTAGCTTGTTTTTCAAAACTGCTGTTGCCTAGAATTTTGCCTCTTCGCTCAAGTGGTGATTCGTGCGCTTAAGCGGTCTTTGTGAACTTCTAGTACTTTTTCAAGTCTGCAGAGATATTGGGAGATGGCATTCTTCGCTCGAGCGGTCTTTCTTGCGCTCAAGCGATGGTTCTTTGTTTGTAAAACTTCTTAGAGTTGGTATTTTTTGCTCGAGCGGTCACTTTGTGCGCTTGAGCGACACTTCTTGTGCTCGAGCAGTCTGCATGTATATTAGTTCGTAAAAGTAACTTTTTGAGTCACTTTTTCATCCCTCTCTCTATCTAAACATTTCAAAACCCTAAGTTAAGGCCGCTCTCTCTAGAACTTAGCTTCTCTCTACAAATACACTTAGATCCATTGATTTCTTTACCCTAATCCCTTTGATAAAAAGGTAGAGCTCACCTAGAGCTTCGTTATAATCAAAACAAAGTTGGATTTTGGCCTCGTTGTGGTTTCTCATTTCTGTCTCTTGTCTTCTAAGCTTGAGGTAGAGATAGTTTTGCACTTTCTTATGATTTTTAACTTAATTATTTGTATTTTTGAAACAACATTGTGATTTGGGGATTTTTGGACAAATCTAGAGTTTTGGTTTGAAATCAAAAAGAGGGATTATCAAATGAATTATTGGAAATGATTGAGGAAATGTATTTATTGTGGAGTTATGATGAAAAGATGGATTTTTATCCTTGGGATTGATTTATAAAGAAAAAAAAAGATTTTGTCCCAAATTTATCGAATGTTAAATTTGTATAGATAAATGGAATTGATGTTGGATTTGTGAAATTGGATTGACATTGATAAGGATGACAGAGTTAGATATGTATTATCACTCCCATCTTAATATTTTGAAATGTATAAGCTTATTAGGAATTTATTTATCTGTTTAGAGATATCCGTTTTGGGCTATCGGTGGAGGATAGGTATGATTGTTGTAGAAATTGCATGAGAACTAGGAGAATTGAAATTATTTTCTCATCCATTTGCATTGGACATTGTTGCATATTTAACACATTGAAAATGTTTATTGTTTTGAAAAAAATGGGTGAATACCTTGGTGAATTTGGGTAGGGGTGTGGTTATGGTATTATGTTGGCCTGTGTGTCCTTGGTGAAAGTCCAGAAACCTCTGCGATTAGGCGTCGAGCCTTTCGGTTAATAGCGGTAAAAATGACAAATTGGTAGTGCTTGTATAGCCTGCTTGCAGATACGTACCTAAGGATTCTCAGAGTTATATTCACAGCCCTATTTTCTATTATAAAGGAAATGATTTCTTGAATTGTGATATAGACTTGACGTTGTATGGTTTTGAAAGGAGATATAACATGTTTTTGGCATGAGCATTGCATATGCATTCACCTTATATCTTTGTTAAGATTCATAAACTGTGTTAGAGTATTTCTACTAGGCTTTGGCTCACCCTATGTGAGAAAACAATTTTCAGGTGCTGATGATATGTCTCTGCCAAGAACATTGCTTGGGAGGAACTTGGAGCTGAAGGCTTCTTTTTGTTTAATTGTTATATATATTTTGTTATAAGCCTAGGGCTTTAACTGTATTGAGCTTGGACTCACTTTTGTTGTAACCAAACACTATCTTGAACAGATGTAGCCATCAGGGCATTTATTATTTGTTTAACACTTATTTCATATCTTTAACTTATATCACATGCTATAGATTCAGGGTTAGGACTTATGAATGTATAACTGCAAGTGACATCTTTGGTATACTTTGAATATATGAAATGAAAAGGATATTGTACTCAAAATGGTATTGTTATTTATTAATATTGTGAATGGTTTTATTGTGATTATTTCAGGGCGTTATAACTTGGTATTAGAGCTACCAGGTTTGAATACTTTGGGATCGTGGGATGTGGCTTTCACCACAATGGGTTGCCTCGTTAGTTTGTATTAGAAGTAAACTGGTATGCTATGTGATGACATGCTTGTGTGACTAAATGGGTATGGAACTTAATTTCTAAGATATTGATTGGGTCTACGAGTTTGTAGAAGTCCTGTTAGAAGAGCACTTGATTACTGCTATTTCTAACTGGAACTTTGGCAATGTCGTGAGACGATCAATATCTAGAAAGAAAGTTCGTATGTGTTTATGTGATTATGTGATTATGTGATTATGTACTTATGTGGAGTGAATTATCTATTGTCCATCGCATTAGGATGCAAATGAGTTAGCTTCGGCACATTTGTAAATGTGCTAATTTCTTGTATTACCTTCATTAAGATGTTCGGACGTGGACGTGGTGGTAGGCGTGGCAATCCTAGACGGCAGGAGGTGCCTTTACCAGATGAAATTCCGGCACAGGAAGAATGGGGTAGTCAGGTTAATGTGGTCGAACTAGTTAGTCAACAGGCCATAGGCGCTTTGGCTCGTGAAATGGCCAGGCTTTTGCGGGAATTCATGGACATTCTCAGAGCTGGGAATCAAGTCCAAGCCCATGTTGCTGAGACAAGACTGTCTTTTCTGAAGAGGGAGTTTTTCCAGTCTAATCTGGAAGAGGTTTTGGGGGATCATAAGGAGCCACTGAAGGCGAATAAGTGGCTGGAGTAGATGGTAAAAATGTTCGAGATGCTTGGCATCGAGGTCGATGGATTAATGGTGACCTTGGCATCCTTCTAGCTGGAGGGAGATGCGGGTCAGTGGTGGAAGTATGGGTGTGGGCACATTGGAGTGACTTAGAAGGCCTTTGTTAACACCTTCCAGGACAAGTTTTTGCCTCCCATTGTTAGGGAGAAGTTTCTGAAGCTTAGGCAGCTTAACACACCAGTAACTAAGTTTGAGGCAGCTTTTACTAGCTTCTTTAGATTTGCATCGGAACTTGTGGTGATGGAAGAATGCTGTTGCATTGAGTTTAAAAAGAGATTGAGGACCAGGCTTCTTTTTAAAGTGGTGGGGTCTATGATTAGGGACTACAGACGCCTTATGGAGGCAACAACTCATCTTGAGATCGTGGTTTAGACAGAGGAGGAGCGGATGAAGGGCTCCAAGCAGAGGAGTCAGGAGGAGACTTGGGACAGTAAGAGGCAAAGGGGTTCCATCCTACAGCAGTCCCAGGGAGCACAGTCTAGATCCACTTTTCCTGTACCAAATTCTAGGGCAGTTAGAGGTGGTTAGGGAGGGATCACTTGTTTCAAGCGTGGCCAGTTCGGTCACAAGTCAGTAGCTTGCAAGCAAAAGGGCGAAGGGCAACAGTCTGCACCATCTGCGGCTCGTTTTCAGAGCCAGAGTCAGGGAAGAGGGCAACCACCCTCAGTCGGGTGGCACATCTGGTGCGTCTGGTTAGCGGCAGACTCAGAGCCATTAGCCTACGCAATCAACACAGGCCTCGATGGCCATTTAGGGAGATATGTGTTGTACCCGGTATTAAGTCTATAGAGAACTCAACTTTCTGGTGAGGAGGTAATTCAACAAGATCTTTAGGAAAGACATGGGAATACTCACATACTACCCTCAAAAACCCATCCTGGATTGTACCACCTTTGTCATCTGAAAAGGTTGCTAGAAAAGAACTAAATTCACCTCAGCCACGTGGGTAGTATGATGAGAGTAAGGACCTATCGTTCTTATCTCCCAAAAATGTGAAATAATCACCACACAACGTGCATACGGTAACTCTCACACGATAACAATCTATAATAGCCCAGTAAAAAGACAACCAATCCATGCCAAGAATAACATCAAAACTCGACATTTCCAACAATACGAAATTAAACGGAAGTTTTCGACCTGCGACCTGAATGATACACCCATGACATCCTTGGTTCAAGATGACTTTACTCGCCATAGGTGATTCTGCCATAAGTGGCGGCTCTAGTTGTTCGCTTTCTAACCCCAACAAGGATGCAAATGCAGTTGCTATAAATGAATGGGATGCACTGGTATCTATCAACACTCTAGCCCAGGTATTGAAGATGAGATAAGTACCTCTCACAACCGACGACACTGAAGACTGCTTTGCTGCGGTGACAACATACATCCTACCCTGTAATCTCTGCTCTCCTACATCACCTCTTTGCACACAAGTCTACTGTGTTGATTGTGCAGATATGGCTCCATGGGTTGCCTTGGATGCCTGGCCTGACTGGGTTGGTTGGTAAGACTGTCTCTATCCTTGGCCCATTTGGAAACCTCCAGAGTAGCGAGATTCGATCATACTGAGTTTAATGACAAAATAAATACCGAGTTTTTAATTTTGTTAATCTAAATCCTAATCTTTTAATTTGTTTTTAATCTAAATTATTTATTTACTTTTCTAAAGTAAAACTGGCGAAAAATAACATTGTAGTCATTAAATTCAACAAAAAATAATATTTTAGATATTTTATATACAATTACATTGAGTTTAACGACTAAAATACTATTTTTTTTCTTGCACTTTACTTATGATTCGTTTGGTTAAGGGATTTAAGAAGCGATTTGGAAAGAAAAAGGAAAACGATAGGTGTAATATGAATAAAATATACATACATTTTACATAGTTTTATACACTTTTTTTTTTCTTTTTTTAAATCTCTTCTCAAATTTTCTAACTAAGTATAGTGTTAACGAAAATAGATAAATAATTTAAATTAAAAATAAATCAAAAATTTATTTCGTTACATGATTAAACCCTGAATTTTTTTTAAAAAAATTTCTCCAAATGTTTTCAAAAAAATTAAAATAAACATAGTAATATCTAGAAACTCATACAACTTACGTGTTAAAAACTCCGCAACTATGTTCCGCTTTCCCAAATGAAAAATGGACATAAGAAGGTGAGAAGTAAGGGTGTGCATAATACCGCCGAAACCGCCAAAACCGCACCGAACTGCACCGCCAAGGCAAATTCGTTATTATTTGCCAATCGAACCGCCGGTTTTTGGTAAGAAAAATGGCAAATTCTAGTGACACTTTTATCAATCTGCCGGTTTCTATTTTTCTTCCAAATCGCACCGACCTGCACCGCTATTAAATCATGTTTTATAAGATTCTAAAAAAAAAATTTTACTTAAGTTTTCTTGTTGTTCTATACCTTAGAATATAGTATTACATTACTGCTCGAGGGGAATTCAAGATGTCAGTAATCCAAAATAAAGTTGGATTCCAATTCACTTTTCAATCTTTTTTTTTTTTTTTTTTTTCTGGCCATGTTGCAAACTTGCATCAGCTCACTTTTCAATCTAAATACTTTTCAACAGTAAACATTTTCAATATATTGTAAACCCTGAATGATATTAATTTAATGTATTGCATTTGATCATTGTAGCTTCCACAGATGCTTGTAATGAGCTGATGGCATAGTCATTGATATTGTCATGTTGTTGCTACACTTGCTGCATCAGAAGAAAGCTTCGCAAGATGCTTAATATCACGGTATCTCTCGTCTTTTTTTTACTCTTTGATTTAAGTTTTGTAATTTGAATTATATTTTTTATAAACCGCCAATCCGCCCGAACCGCCAAGGCAAATCCGCCATTATTTGCCAACCGAACCGTCGGTTTTTGATAAGAAAAATGGCAAATTCTAGTGACACTTTTATCAACCCCCCCCCCGCCATACGGTTTCTATTTTTCTCTCAAACCGCACCGACCCGCACCGCGCACACCCCTACTCGAAGCCGCGGTTGCGACAACAACTAATTTATTAGAATATATAAAAAAACTCCTTCTCTCTTTAAAAAAAAATTTATTATTTTAATTTAATAATGTATAAGATAACTCCTCTCTTTAATAACTTTCTTAATAATCAATCAATTATTTATTTTACATACTATTAAATCTTAAAAATAAATCTAAAAATAGTCTTGAGAAAATTAGTGAAACATTCCTCTTCAACTTTGTATAGTAGGAAATGTCCAAGATATTTTTTTATTAGTTAAGGTCTCTCAATATTTCATAGAGAAAATTCGACTAAGAGAAATTTTACCTAACTTATAGAAATTTCAATTTTTATTAGAGAAATTTCAAAATTTCTTTGGTATGATCATAGAGAAATTTTGAAATTTCTCTAAGTCGAGGTGAAATTTTTTCGAGTCAGACAAAATTTTTCTAAGTCGAATTTTCTCTGTGAAAATGTTAAAGGACCTTAACTATTATAAAAATATTATATATCATTTATCTTATAAAATCTTAATATTAAAGACCTTAAAAAAAATTCCAATAATCCTTTATATTATTATTTTTTAATTTTCCGTACAATTATTGCTATGCATGACGCACGAGTCTCATTAAAAAAAAATAATAATAATGATCAAAGACTAGTACGCAACGAGAATCAGAGATGATAGATGGCGGTAACACTTGTTTAAAAAATCAACATAAATGTAATTTCTCTATTTCAACTAACAAAAAAGATAAATTATATTGACCCCCTTCAGGTTTGTTGAAATTACAAAGAGTTCCTGTAAAGGTTTTAAAATTAAACTGACCTCCCTCATCAGACTTTTTGACTTAACATTGTAAATGAAAATAATCATTTTATTAAATCACCTTTTACTTCAAGCTTTAAGAATTATTCTTTATTAGGCTACCACATATTATATTTTGTTTGGTTTGTGAACACAGATTGAAATGATTTGGACAGATTGACTGATATAAGCTTGAAATTGGTATTGTGATTTATAAAATTTTGAGTCATAT